ATTGATGCGATACTACAAATTTCAAGCTACACGAATTTTTTGAAAGAGATGTTGACAAAGAAAAGAAAGCTTCCGAAATTTGAAACTGTGGCATTAATTGCGAAAAGTAGTGCAAGAATCCAGAGCAAATTGCCTCCTAAATTGAAGGATCCAGGGAGTTTTACTTTACCAATTTCAATTGGAAATTCCTGTTCAATTAATGCATTGTATGACATTGGTGCTAGTATCAATCTAATGTCGTATTCTGTTTACAGAAAATTGGGACTAGGTGAAGTCAACTTAACATCAATAACGCTACAACTAGCCGATAGAACAATCGCAAGGTCACGTGGCAAACTTGAAGATGTACTCGTAAAAGTAGAAAATTTCATATTTCCTGTGGATTTCATTGCTTTGGACATACCAGATGATCGAGACATTCCAATTATATTGGGTCGGCCATTCTTAGCCATGGGACGAACCCTTATTGACATGGAGAAAGGAAAACTAATCTTACGAGTGGAGGACAAGTATGAAATATTCAATATTTACACCCAATATGAGAAACCTCATAATAAAAATGATTGTTGTAGAATTGATGAAGAAGAACTACCTGATCAACAAAGCTGTCGGAATAGAAAATCAAATTTTGGGAAAGTTCTTCATAGAGATGAGAATAGAAAAATCAAAATCTGAAAAGCAAAAAGGGCTGCATAAACGGAAATGGGACAAAGTGCAATGATGGAATAACTTAGTTCGAGCCACCATAATAAATTAGCTGCACAAGTCAAGCTAATGACTTAAAAGAAGCGCTTCCTGAGAGGCAACCCAAGCTTACTTTCCTTTATTTATTTTGTTTTCAAGTTATAGGATAGTTTAGTTTATTTATTAGTTTATTTAGGAGTCATCACCCATATCCATTCTGCCCGTAAGCCTTTGAATTTTTGTTGATTGTTTTGATTGTTTGAGCTAAATAATACTTGTTCCATTTATTTAATTTGTGAAATTTGATTTTTCAGGAACATGACGTCATGAAACACTCAAATCAACATAGATCCCAATGAAAGCACGATGAAGAAGATTATTCAGCCGTCACAATAGAGCCTCACATATTCAGCAGAACAAAATTGGGGAGTACCGTCTTCCTTTTCTTCTCTACCCCTTTTTGTGCTTATTTATACTTTATGACATTGAGGACAATGTCAATTTTAAGTTTGGAAGTGAAAAAAACTTTTAATTTTTGTTTTTCATGTGTTTATATATTTTTGTGTGTTCGTTTTGTGTGTTTGTTAAAAAAAAAAAAAAGAAAAAAATTGAAAAATTTTAAAAAAAAAACTATAAAAAAATAAAAATTATATATATATATATATATATATATATATCTTTTATTCAACTGTGTGTTTGTGTGGGTAAATAGTCTGGCAGACAATGTTGACTTAATTTGAGATTTGGTGTTGATTTATAAATTGTGGATATGATGCATGTTAGATAAATTGAAACTTAACCCTGCAAAATTGGATATTAAAAGCGTACTAGAATTAAGTTTGACATTGTGATTACATGAGTTGTTTCTTGATTTTAATAGATTGATCTAGTTTGACATAGATGCTTTACCTAAATCATATTAAATTATATATCCTTAGATCAAATTTAGCACAGTTTGGGGTAATTTTACAGTTGTAAGAAGATTCGGATGTGCATGTGAATTCCATGTGTGAAAATTTATGTGTGGATTGTCTTAGACTAACATGATAAAACTCCAGGAAAGTCTTAAGTTTGAGGTCGATTTGTTTGAATAAGTGTGTGATAAGGGGCATTGTACTAATCAAGTCATATACATTTGAAAATTTTAAACTTCTCTCTGAAATCTTTATGACTCGAGTGATTAAGTCTGAAAGATATCTTAAAACTTGGTGTCCTAAAATAGTCTGTTTTGGGAGTTATCGGCCTAAAATCCGTTACAATGGTCATTTAGAAAGTTTAATAGAGATGAAGTTTCATTTAAAAAAAATTATTCTCTTCGAAACCTTTTTGACTCGGGTTAGTAAGCTTATAAGGGTGTTTCAAACCCGGTGCCTTAAAATCATCTGATTTGGGAGTCATCAGCTTAAAGCCTGCTACATGGGTTATCTAGAAAGCTTAATGGAGAGAATACCAAAAAAAAAAAAAAACTAGTGAAAAACTTGAAAAAAAGCAAGTGCATGAAAAGAGAGAAAGCACTAAATACCTTAGTTAAGCCCTAACACTTATTTGAGAAAATTTGACTTTTGATGCAAGATAATTAGCTAGTTGAGTCTTGGAGGTCGAAATAATCAAATAATTGGAGAATCCCTGTTCACTGAAGTGTTGACTTGCAACTAGTAACGTCCACCTAAACTCGAGAGGGTAAGGATAGTAATGAAATATTCAACCTTAGATTACATACTGGGAAAGAGTAAAAAAGAATAAGTTTGGGGGTGTGTGAATCTTACGAGTGATGAAAGGATATATATGACCATTAAGGGTTGGGAATTGGAATAACTTGTGTGATTAATGTCTACTTAATTCTTTACATACACACGTCGATTTTGCATTGGAAGAGTGAATATTAGTTTGGTGTCGTAACTTTGAATCATGTTTGTGAAATTAACACTTAAATATTGAATCTTGAGGTGAGAAGTTAGATTGTCCAACCAAATATTTTTGCCCGCGTGTGTGTTAATTATAATTTATGTTATAATTTTGTTTGAGGATAAACAAATATTTAAATTTGGGAGTATTTGATAAGTGTATTTTATACATTTATTCGAGGCCTTAAACAATAATATTTAGCGTTTCTCTGATAAATTATGGTCTAAATTATTGCAATTAGTGTTGAATAGGCAGAAGTCAATATTGGTACAAGAAAGTGAAAGAAACGAGAGGAAAACCTGGAAAAAGAGCGAAATGCAAAAGTTTGGGACCAAATTGTAACAATTCAATAGTTGATCTGTACCATGAATCGAAAATTGAAATGTTTGGAGGTCAAATTAAATATTTTGGAATGTAAAGGACTTGAATTGAATTAAAGAATATGTAAGTTGCGAGAATGAAAGGACTCAAGCACTGATTTTCATTATCTTAAAAAAACCAAAGACTTCAAGTGTAATATATGATTAGAGACCTTTTTTAGTCAATTATGGCGGTTGGGAATGTGATAGATACGTAGGAGCTGAGGGAATTTAGGGTAGAATTTAATATATTTTCCACACAATTGAATTGGGGGCCAATATCATATATCTCTACGCACGAAAATTGAGAGCCTGCCTTCATCATCTCTACGCACGAAATTTGAGACTGGGAGGGTACACAAAGAAAAGCAAAATACACGCACAGAAAAAATTGCAGAAAATTGGAGCAAAATTGAAAAATTATTCACATTTCGTCAATTAATCGGGTGATGAATTTCTTAATAATATCTTATTTTTCCTCCATTAATATGCGTAGTTAAATTTAATTTTAGGACGAATAATGTAATCTATTTGGGACTTTTATTTCTTTTATTTAAGATGCTTGTTCTTTTATATTTTATGTGTGAATTTTAATTATGTTTTTAATGCTTTGAATTTTTTAGCCAATTATTCAATAATTTTGTGGACAATAATTACGTAGAGATGCGAATTTTTGTTTAGACCATATATTAAAATTCGATAAATTAATAAAACGTGTAAAGATACCTATATTAATTGTTGCGGTCCTATAGAAATTTTTAGAACTGTTATTTCGTTTAATTAAATTTAATTTGTATAGAGATATGAAATTGAACTAATTAAACAGGCTCAATGAGAATTCGAGAAGGGTAAGTTGAATACAATAGAAGAATTCGACCGAACACTACTTTAATTTTATGAATCTCGATATTAGAAGTAAAGGTAACCAATAGATAAATTTGTTCCGCCCTAATATCCATTTATTATTTGAATTCTCACTAATTTGCTGTTGCATTCACAAAATTTTTAGTAGGTAGATTTAAAAATCACATTCAATCATTTTATTTATTTATTTTCATCAAATAGAAGTTAGGAATAATAAATTGAGTACTAAAATATAGTCCTTGTGGGAACGATAATCAGATTCAAAATGTCCACTTTACTACTTGTTACTATCTGTCCACTTGCGGTTTAAAATCGAAAACAATTGCCATCATCTACATGCATTCATAATGAAGATTGTTTCCTTTATTTTGCATTTCACAATGAACTTTATCGTCTTCCACTTCATAAAATGAATCATTATCTTTTTCTTATGGATGCTCAAATGGATATTTGCTCAAAAGGGTTACACAAATTGGACAATGGGAATTTCTTTTTATTGAAAGATAGCAACCACTGCACTTGCTTGTTAGAAGTAATTTTAATTAGAACTTAAAATTGTCCATTTCCAGGGAAAAGAAATCTAATCTCAATTTTATTCGAAGATGAATCAACTTTGCAAAAATTTAACACTTCACAATATAGATCATGATATGAAGTACCTGATGATATTGAAACTCCTTCTATCATTTCATTACTCCCGCTTCGTTTCCATATTCATTTTCCGTCATCATCATTAATAAAATTACCAAAAAATAATATGGCAGCAATCTATGTTGTTGAGTCCATATCTATAATTAAAATAATAAGATTTTAGAAAGTAAAGCAAATAATCAATTATAGTAATCTAAAGTGAATGCAATCGTTTCTATGATCATTTTAAATGACTAAACGACTACGCCTTTATACTTCGATTAAAACTAGATAAAAAAAAATGAAAGAAAGAAGAAAAAAGAAGTAGAAGATTATAGATAAATTAAATAAGAAGAAAAGAAGAAGAAAGCTGGAATTTCAAAGAAGAGCAAAATAGTGAAATTAACTGCTATAATTTGAAAAATGTGTATTATAGTCATTATATACTAAGGGTATTTCGGATATTTCAACAATATGTAGAAGAATAATTTGGACATTTTATTAATTTTAAAAAAATGCCTTAAAACTTATTTATAGTAAATTAGTCCTAAAAATGTCTTAAATCTCGAGACTCTGCCTTTTATAAAAATAACCTGGTGTTTGTTGATGGTCTATTGCTCTTCTTATAAATATAAACAGTGAAAAAGAGCAGGTATCTTCAATCAATCTTTGAGTCCACATCGAGTTAAGGTGCACAGTACTTGAATCTCAAAAGTTGAAAGAGCAGTTTTGGTGTTCGATTTATTGAGCAATCAAATTTCTGCGGCCAAAGTGTTCGACGTTAGGTTAACAAGGGTTTTGCTTAGTTCCTTTCCATTCCCCTTTTTTGGCGGTGAAAAATTGTAATCTTGGGCTAATTTTTTTTATTGCTTTTGCTTTCTGGGCTTTGCCATTTCAAATATTGTCAGCTGAAAAAGCAATGGCGGAGAACCCAGCAATGAAGAAGGGAACTGTGACGCCAATATCATCCTTGTTCCCAGCAGAGGAAGCCCATAAAGCATCTAAGCGCGTGCAGGACACTATAGCAGAGCACCAAGAGCAACTTGATCAACTTAAGGGCTTCATGAATGAGAACACCAACCTCATAAACCTTGTACAGAAGCTTCCCGATGAACTCCACCATAACATCATGGTAAAATTCTAAACTTTAGAACCACCAGAGGAAAAAATAAATAAATTTGTAATTGTATATGTATTCACTGATTGTACATTTTTTGTCGGTGAATAGGTTCCGTTTGGCAAGGCGGCATTTTTCCCGGGTCGTTTGATTCACACCAATGAGTTTATGGTAATGCCTGTAACTATAGTAGCTAAATTGTCTATTTGGGTTTATTAGCTTTTATTTTTTTATACATGTTTTTCCTTTGTTTAAATTCCTGTAATAATGTTTTAAATGCTTCATAAGTTCTGTTTATGAAAAAGTCACAGACAAATAGTATAAATTATAAAATTACACCATCATTAGGCATTACTGTACATTATCTTGATTGAATGGGCTATTTGGGGAATGGTAAAGATAAAATTCTGGTTCATTTTCACAATATGACGTTTGACTCTTTGGCATTCGAGAAAGAACAGTTCTGTTGGAATATGTTTGTCGTCTGCAACTGCAATACTTTTGGGTGCTTTAACCTGATTAATTTTTCTTGAGTGAATTTTCTATAGTTTTGAAATATAGCAAGCTTGATTTTGGATTGGAATTTAATTTTGAAAATTGGATGTAATTTATGAAATGGATATATATATATATATTCTTGAAATAATCAAGCTAGTACCTATTGTGGATAATCTTAACCATGTAGCCTGGCACACTAGATTGGGAAATTAAATTTTAAATAGACTGATAGAAATTTATCACAATCAAAGCAAACAGGAGTAGATTTCAATTTCTTTTTCATATGCTCTGATGACTTATTGTATTCCAGATTTGGGATTATTTGATATTGCTATGTTTAATTTTACATGTTTCCAACTTGGGTTCAGGTCCTTTTAGGAGTAGACCACTACGTTGAAAGAACATCCAAGCAAACAATTGATATCTTGAAAAGAAGAGGTAAAGGTCTGGAGAACCAACTTGAATCTCTAAAGGCTGTGATGCAGGATTTAAAGGCTGAGGCTTCATTTTTTGAGGCTACGGCTTCAGACGCAGTGGTAAGCTTCTTGATTTTTTTGAGAAGTTATTGATCTTTTTCCTTTAATAAATAGATTGTGGAGCTTGCTCTCCACCAGTCGAGTTCATTTAATTCAAGTTATCCATATATAATCATATCAAGGTAGCCCCTTTTCTGCTTTAAAAGTGACTACTTGCAAATACTAACCATTTTTCAGAACATCCAGGTTTCCATTAGTGTTGTAATGAGCTATAAGCATTAGTTATTCAAATAAATTAAATAACAGAAAGTTAAATTTTAATGGACTTCTTGTAACATTATTTTCTTAACTAGACCATCAATTTGATGTTAAATAATATTTCCCAAACCATGTCCAAAATATTTTTCTCCAAGTAGGGTTATGAGATCCCCACTCTCACACTTGCCATCTTATTAGGAAAAGGCTTTTTTTTTTTTTTACTTCCCCATTCCATCTTGGTGCACGAAAGATATCTACATCTGTATCTATGTCCACAATTCATCTGACACTATGTAAGAACTTGCCTACATGATTGTATTATGTTTACAAACTTGGCTCTATGATCTAGGTATGGTTTTTATGGAAAATGGGAATGACCAAAAACTGCCTAGGTGAATATTAAATCTGAGATGTGATGAAACATTGTCATGGGTTCTTAATCCACATTTATTAGATTTCCATTTTACAGTTATACTTTTGGCCCTGTAAACAAGTTACATGCACAAGCTTCGGTCGGTTAATGCCTGTCGCTCTGTAAACAGTTGAAAATTGAACTGAATTGTGAATGGACCACAAAGATGAGGCTTGACGCGTTACATGCAGCTGAAGTTTATTTTCGTTTTGATGTTGAACCATGGGGAAAATTATATAGTAGGGTTTTGTGGACTTCTACCCTGACTTAAATGAATCAGAATGTGCTCTGGTTTTGCAGTATTAAGAAATTTCATGGCAATGTAATTTGACCATGTCAAAATTGTGGGGAATTGGATTTCTTTTGGAAGCCTGCCCGATTTAGGTAATGTTAGCACACGGGGAATTCTATTGCTAGAATTTTGTTTAGAAGCCTGCCCACCTTGAACTGGTTGGGCTTTGTATGATCTAAGAAAAAGTAATACAAGGAAATATTTCAGTCCTGTTCGGTTGGTTGTCTTCCTATTTTCCATAATTTTTGCTTTTTGTTTCATTTTAGTTATTTGATTTTTATATTTCCATGTAATGCTTGACAGGATGGTCTTGTAGAGATAAGGGAAGATTATGCTGAGGAAAGTCCTTCAGAAGTGGTGCCTTTGGCAAGTAGGATTCCATGTTTTTTCTGGGCAATGAATTATTAAGATTTGTGAATCTAATAATTCTTTGGTTTCTTTCTTCTATATGTTGATATATATGATGGATGCTGTTATTTGTATATCTTATTAGAAATGAAAGTTGTATTTTATTTGTATATTTTTGAAGGGAAACAAAATAAGAAAAGAAACAGTCATCTATCTGCGCAAGAATTGATTCTAGTTATTGATTTGATAGAATTTATATGATATAAAGTTTTCTTAGTGGCAATTTAGCATGTCCGTTGCAGAAGGAAAAAATGATATGCTTATGGTCTACAAGTTTTTTGTTATTTTAGTTTGACGATTTTTCAGGCCAGCCTTTTATTAGCCTGAATACAGATATTGTATTCCTGAGAGTTGGAGGAACCGCATACCTCTCTCTCATGATAAACGAGGAACATTAAATTAAAAAAACTAAATTTCTCCCATGGTATTCAAAACTATTGAAGGCCATTTCTCCCTAATTCGACATTTTTGTATTTTTGACGTGGAAATGTATAACGAAGCTGGAAAACATGCGGTACACATCCTTTTCGAAACATGATACTTGGTTTTCTGACTTGGGATTTGTTCTGCTTACATAGAAATTGGTACTGGTGCTTATATGTGGCATTAAAGAGGACTCAATTTAGGAGAGGACATTTTTATTGGGATCTCCCCATGATCAATTGGAGATATCAATAGGGAAAGAAGACATATCGTAACATAAACAAGATAGGATGGAACATCCAATGGCATATTTATTTTAGAGAGAAGAAAGAAATGGAATGTTTAGTATGATATTGTCTTGCAATATATAATGTTTGCCAATTAAAGATATGAAAGATTTTCTCCTCTCTTTGCTTTAGGCTTGTGATGATGTGTCAGATATTGCCAAGTTGCAATTTTTTGTTAGATTCAGCACTGACAATGTCTGAAATTTCAGAGAATCCAAAATCTGATTCCCTTAATTTTCTTGAGGCAGACAACACAAAAGCTGCAATTGAAGATGATGAATATGCACGCATCTTGTCACGGATTGCGGAACTTGAACAGGAAGAAGAAGCTGAAAAGGCCAATGAATTTAACAGAGACAATCAGATAGAAAATGATTTGGCTTGCAATACTATTCAAAGTTTTACTGACCAGGAAGTCAGAAGTTCAAAGGTATAGGGTTTCACTTAGAAAATGACTGCGCCTATAGTTGGGAACTTATATTTGTACGAACTTTTGCAGATCATACAGGGTTTCACTTAGAATCATTCTATATGCTTCTGTTTTATTCTTTGCCACCCTGTAAACTCTCTATAAACTGTCTTGCCTTGCAGTGCACGACCATTTAATTTTACCTAATTGGCTTTTTACTGAATTGCATGATGCAGGTTGAGGATGCAATCTTGCAATCACCATCTAAAGGTAGACGGCATTCAATCATTATTTGTAAACAATATGCAATTTATGTATTACTGTATGTTGTTATTGAGATGAAGGTAAGTGATCTTATTGCATAATAATTTCACTTGCATATGCACCATGTAACTCTTAGATATGTTGAGATGAAGGAAAGTAACTGCACATATAGCTCTAGTTTCTCATTGAACATAATGCGCTGTACTTCTACCTCATATGGCTTCCAGTGAAAACCTTGAAAGTCACCATGTTTTTGGATGGACCTATTTGAACATTATAAAGAGGTATATTGATTTATTAAAATCTCACTGTAACATGGTTGGACTTACAGGAAAAATAATATAATATGAAAGTGAACTATAAAATTAAGGGTTCACAGTTCTTGTAAATTCTGTAATTAAGTGATTATTGTGAAATTCAAATATTATTTACTTAATCATGATACCTGCACAATGCGCATTGTATTGCTATCATGTAGCAATGCACATTCGTTTGCGTGAGGTTTCTGTTGTATTTGTGTTTTGAGCTTGCTATTGCTTCGTAGATCTTATCATGCTTGGTGTTATCTACTAACTCTTGTATTTCCTGGAGTGATGAGCTCAGTTCCTTAAAGTTTTTTTTTTTTTTTTTTTGGCAGAAAAGGACAAAATATCTTGGCCATAACATGTTTAGGAAAAATAAATATTTGTGAGCACGAAGAGCTCCTTGATCCATGTGAATTTAATAAAGATGTGAGCTATATATGAAATTTAATTGTGTCTGAGGCTCATCGTAGTTGATAGTTGACTTCCTTGTATGCTATCTGGTATGCTGGAATAATTTGGTGCAAATTGTTGTCTGAAATTTATCATGTTATGTTGTTTGTACTTAATAGCAGGTGCCTACGATATTTCTACATGCACGTGTATGTCTTCTATTATGGTTTGCTTAATTGGAGCTGGTTGGTAAGCAAAATTTTCGAATGAAGTTTGTGTTAAAGATTGACCGTTAATGCCCATCTACCTCAGACCTTTTGAACTCATTTGCAGCTATGGGGCATCTGAAAGGAATGTGGGGTCTACTAATGGGTCTTCACATGTAGATGTAACCATGTGTTACATGTGTTTGAATGACTGTGGTGATTTATAACCACCTTTCTTAAATTAGCATCATGACAGATGACAGTTAGTTTCTCGTGTTGATTATAAATATGAATGGAAACATCAGTTCATAAAGAGAGCTCAGAATAGGACTTGGTATTTGATCTTTTACCACAGTATATGGAAGACTTTTTTTTCAGATCCTCAACCGAATGGAAATCAGTTGTATTTGTAAATGTGTGTTTTGTTGGGCATATTAGTTACTGTACTGGTAACATGTATTTTTTAAAAAATATGTGGTCTGATTCCTCCTTGATTAAACTGATTCAGATGGATCTTCACATGGCAAAGGTCCAGCACTCGATGACTACAGTATGAAAAAAAAGGTTTTGGAGCTTCCCGAGGTAAAGGAGAAAGTTCAGGCTCCAGTTACGGCTGATAATAAAGTATGCTTCATCTCTTGTAGTCACTGTAATCCTTCTATTTATTGAATTATGGGCATATTTCATCTTTGATCCAAGTTTTCACTCCAAAAATATGATAAATAGTGGCAGGCAATGATTGCCCAATGCATTGAGGTTTAGAAGTGATTCCAATAGCTATAGGAGATGTGTCAAGAGTTGGCACATTACTTTCAGATCCTCTGATTAATTATATGATGCCAGATTAGCTCAAACTAAACTTCATTTTTAATAAATTTGAGGTCTGCCACATGAATCTTTTTCCGCCACTCCGCCCAGTTCATTGTTGTAGCAATAGATCTAAAGAAATTATGATCCTCTCGTTCTCCTCCTATCTCCAAAGTGCTTCTCAAATCAAGGAGTTAATGCTTAGCTAGTACAGTTCCTCTCTCCGGTGGATGGGTGGATAATAGCAGTGGTTAGTCAGTTGCTCCTGCTGCTTTTAGGCCTTATCCTTGGTGGGTAATTCAATCTTGTGAACAAATCGAGACCGCATTTGGAAACAAGATACGAGCGGAGGGTTATAACTAATTGATTAAAGAACATGAAACTATTCTGTTTCAATAGAGGTACGGGAAAGGGTGAGGCGAATAGAGCAGGTGAAGTGGTTGAATTTTGTGATTTGTCCCAACCACTGCTCGATGTGTTTACATTATCCCCCCAAAAATTGTACGTGTAGGTCATGCCATTCGATGTCGCCCATCCTAGCACTCATTCGTAATCCTCATCGTTTATCATAGAACATGTGAGTTTGGTTGTACCATTCCCTCTTATGACATGTATCCAATTTAAGTGATTATTTTCTGTTGCAGGTTTCTCATCCCTCGTCCATACCAGGCAGCGATAGTAGCAATGTATGTTTCAGATGTGTTCACAATTTTTCTAGTATATTCAGTATATATATTACTGAGTTAATTCAAACTTGTGTTATCGTACAGGCTTTTACGGGTTCTATTGTAGAACATGCTCCTGACATTGGGAAAAACTCAAGGGAACAGCAGACTGGTGCTCGTAGCTCGAAACCTGTTTCGAGGTTTAAGATGCAGAGAAAGTAGGTATATGGTTTGCTTATCTAACTATGTAAAACTTTGGCACTGAATAAACTTGTTGATACCCAACTTAAACCCCAATTATCTCTCTCACCCTCTCTTTGTCCTCTTGCCGACGAGTGCAAGCTTTGCAAGCAAGCGCGACAACTGGTTGCTTTGTGACGACACTTGGTTGTTGTGAAATCGCAATAACCAGTTTTCTAGTTTTTGATTTGATTCCTTAGATCTGCTTCGGTGTATTGGATTTGATATGATCCTGACCGTACACAACCAATGGCTTTCTGGTGTGATGATGGCATTTGTAGATCTGATTTGTTGATTTTTTGAGCGACGGTGGCAATGATTGTGATTTTGAAGTTGGATGGTAGTTGTTGGGAGTGAGGGCAGCAGTGGTGGCATTAGCTGTGATGGTGAGGAGGAGCTATTTTGGGTCGGTGTCATGGTCGATTGGAGTTAGGTGGCGTAGGTGGTGGGATAAGAATGTTTATGATTAATTATTTGAGATTGTGACCAATAAATTCGATATTTTGTGACTAAAAAATAACATGTGACCAATAAATTTTATGTGCCCTAAAAATTTGAGTTGTGATTTATAAAATTTGTGATTTGTAATCAATAAATAAGTTGTGACCTATAAAAATTTTTATTTGTAATCAAAAAATAATTTGTAATCAATTAATTCTATAATTTGTGATCAAGTTATATAAAATTGTAACTGTAATATATTTAATTAATAAAATATATTTTTAATTCATCGTTTTATAAAATAATAACATTGTTTCTTAGTTTTGAAATTTGTCATAATTAATCACTTAAATATGAAAATTTCCCCCTTTTTTTTCCCTTCCATTTTTTAATACCAGCTAAAATATAGTGGAAATTACACTAGACTAAATAACATTGTTTCTTAGTTTTGAAATTTGTCATAATTATTCACTTAAATATGAAAATTTCCCTTTTTTTTTCCTTCCATTTTTTAATACCAGCTAAAATATAGTGGAAATTACACTAGACTAAATAACATTGTTTCTTAGCTTTGAAATTTGTCATAATTAATCACTTAAATATGAAAATTTCAAATATTTTTTTCCATTTTTTAATACCAGCTAAAATATAGTGGAAATTACACTAGATCGGATATTTAAAGATTGTAATTCGAAAATCATAAATGAAGTTTTCTTATTCATAAATCATATAATAACTCGAAGGGTAACTATATTACCACCACAAATTTTATTTTCTACACAACATTATATCAACACCACAATTAAAATATGTTTTCAATAAGTACACCATGACAAATTTACGATTATAGTCCAAACACAATAAAAACGAAAAAAATAAATTCTGGTCAGCATTTTCTTGAAGTTCGGAATCTAATCCACTGGTATTTCAACAGCGTACAATTTTAAGCACAAGACATCACGGAACGGAGCAACATAATGATCTTTAATAATCACAGGAACACAACTAGAATAGAGTGCCTCGACAATTTTGGATTGGCTACTTCATAACCACTAGGAAAAATACAATACTTGCTTTTTCTCATCATTTGTGAGTATGACACACTCTTTGGTAGGTACCTATGAATCTGAACATCTTCATCTTTGTTTTCCCAGTGCTCGAGAAGAATAATCTAAATAGGGTTTGCATCATAAAAGGAATGCATCAAAATTCGTGAAATCTTGCCAGTTTGGAGGAGGAAGAGAAGTTGCAAAAATGTGGAGTACTGGGGCCTTAGAATCAACTACATTATCGTATACTTATTATCCTCCCTTTCCTTTAAACTACACCAGATTCTACAATTTTATCGATACAACTTCACAATTTCAAGATTGCCCATTTTTCATCAAATTGCAGATGCGTTCTTGTATATACATAAACGGCAGAAATTTTTTTCCATTCAATTTGTTACATTCCCAAAAGGAAATGCTCAAACTCCAAAAGCCGCTATCAAGTTTGGCAATTAACTCAATTGACACCCCATCAGTGCACAGAAGATCCAAAAAGAGCTCCAAATATGGAGACCCTATAAAGCTAGAGGACATGCTGCTGGTACAATACTTTGGTGACTTAAGAGATGAAGTTGAGAGAGAGGTATTGAAACATCTGATGGATATATGCAAAGCTCAAGGGTTTGTTTATGAGATCACTCCAGATAATTTCATATCAGTGAATAATGTTTGGATCTTTTGCTATAGATCTTTGTAATGTTTAAATGAGTTATATCTTTTATGGTGTATGGATGGTGATGGAATGAATAAATATATTAGTTAATAATAGATAAGATACTTATGTCATTTCTCTCACGGTTATTTTAGTAAAAAAGAAAATTGCGGTGCACCAAGTACTTATTGTGGTGGTAATATAATTACCCTAATTCAAATATAAATATGAAAAATAATATTATGAAATCTATCCACCCCACCCAGCCCTATCCTTCGAATCACATACAAAACATTAAAATTTATTTCTGTCTTCTCTCTTCTTATTATCTCTATCCTTTCTATCTCGCAGTTGGATGGCGGAGGAGATATGGCTGGCACCAACCGCCGTTGCAATGTGCTTTGGGCAAAAGGGGCTATGGATGACTCCAACCGCTACCAGGTTCCAGGGGCTACGCCGGAGAAATGGACAAAAATGCTGACAACGATTCATAGCAGATTGTAGGCTAAGTACCAATCCATGGCATTTGCCCCTGCTGCAGGATGTTACTTGAAGTGTCTACATAGTTGTCCATGCAGGTGGTCGCATTGGCGGTGTTGCGATGACCTTTGGGCTTGGTAGTGGATCTGGCGGTGATGATGGTTGTGTTGTTGAAAATGGTGATTTTGTGATGGTGATGGCGAGGTTGCGAGGCATCCTAGTTTGGTGGTGGATATGGCGATTGAAAATCTTTGACGAATAAATTAGTGATGGTGAGTATGTCTATTTATATAGATGTACAAGGTGCTTACAAATCAATCAAGAATATTTATAGCTTAATTACAATGAAACTGATGGAAAGAATATCATTCTCCCATAATTGAGCTAGATTAAAATATAATTAGGCTAGAATAGTGGGGTCAAATCCGTTACAGGAATTATGCCTTAGATTGGACTAAAGTATCGTCAACACCCCCTGCAAGCTGAGCGTCGAATTGGAGTAGATATGAAGCTTGGATCGAAAGAATTCAAAAAGTGGTATAGGGAGACTTTTGGTGAAGATGTCATCAAACTTGTAGGTGAGATGGGACGAACTGAGTGTGAAGTTTGTCAGAGACAACAAGTTCTCGAAGGAAGTGATAGTCTAATTCAACTTGCTTGGCCTTGAAGCTTCGACAACTAAAGATGGTCTTTTTATCAATCAGCTGAAATATGCACAGGATATTCTTACTTGAGCTCAGTTGCTTGACAGCAAACCAATGCATACTCCTATGGTTGTTTATCAGCACTTGGTGCGTGAGAGGTTGCCCTTGTGACTCACATGATTAAAAGTGCGATTCGTGGAAATGAACGCTGCTATAGGTAGATTTGCAGATTCAAGAGATTTTTGAAATAGTTCAAAGCTTTCAGCTTTGGACACGAGGCCAGTGAAGTAGGGGAGAGGAGTGACCGCCAGCTGTGCAATTGAGAATGACGAGAAATTAGCGCCAAGACCTAGAAGAAAGCCAATAGACTTTGTTCGTCTCATCAACTGGTCGTCCAATGGCATGTAGCTGGTCACAAAGTGCCCTAAAGGCACGAGAATACTCAGAGACAGAACATGTTCCATGCCTCATCAATTGGACATAATCTTTGAGGCGAATCTTGTGAGCTTTGGAGCGATGGCTGAAGGTGTTTTCCAAGGCAATCCAAACCTCGCGCGAGGTGGAGACGTTGACGACCTTAGCCATGGCCTCCTTGGTGAGAGAAGAGAGAAGAAGGCTGAAAAGCTTCTGATCAATTGTTCTCTAGTCTAAGTATTTGGTGTTTGGGAGGTGGATGGGTCAAATCTTAGTGGAGGCTCAAGGGTTCCATCTATATGATCGAGTAGTACTTGACTTTCAAAAAGAGGAAGCAATTGACTTTTCCACAGGAGGTAGTTTGAGGAGGAGAGTTTAATTGTTACCATGTGGATCATGGCGTTGAAAGAGAAGAGTGTGGATTCGACACCATGAAAATATTTGAAGAATAAATCACCACAGTGCTCTTAGTGATGGTGAGTATGTCTATTTATATAGATGTACAATGTGCTTACAAATCAATCAAAAATATTTAGAACTTAATTACAATGAAATTGATAGAAATAATATCCCATAATTGAGCTAGATTAAAATATAATTAGGCTAGAATAGTGGGGTCAAATTTGTTACAGTAATTATGCTCTAGATTGAGCCAAAGTATCCTCAACAGTGATGGCAATGTTTTGTAGTTGAAAATAGTAATTTGTTGTGGGTGGTGATGGTTTTGAATTTAAAAATTGTAGTTTGTTGGAGGTGGCGGTGGAAGTGATTGTGTGGTGGCGCCGCTATTTGAGAATGTGACTAATAAATAATATGTGATCTAAAAATTTGAGTTGACTTATAAAATTTGTAATTCGTAGCCGATAAATGAATTGTTATCTATAATTTTTTTTATTTTATGATCAATAAATAAATTGTAATCTATAAAATTTTTGATTTGTGATCAAGAAATAATTTATAACCAATTAATTTGTTAATCTGTGACTAAATTGTGTAAAATTGTGACCTTAATATATTTAATTAATAATATCTTTTTAATTAATCATTTCATAAGAAGAATCTGATTTTTGAAATTTTAAACCTAATTTCTTAATTTTAAAATGAGTCAAAGTTAAACTCTTAGATATGAATTTTTTTCTAAAATATATAACTACTTTTAAGTTCCATGGGCCCAAAATGGACATTAGTGTACCTTGAAGTTGGGCAGGACAAGCGGGATAGTGCTATTACATTCAAGGCCCAGTGACTGGGCCAGATAAAAAGAGGCAGTTCGCATGAAATGCTGAATCCTTGACGCCCAATTGGGCTGGCGCTTGGAGGAATTAAGTCCTTTGAGTTTATAAATCAATTATAAATAATTAAATTTTACTTTTGATCACGCATTTTAATATATTAATAAGTAAAATTATCTTACTCAACATTCATTTCTGTCTATTTATATTTTATAAATTTTTTTCAATTGGGTATTTTTTTAGTTGAAAAATAATTAGTTCAGTATCTTTTGCAAAACTGTAAAATGCAGTAAAGAAAACCTATCGTTCAAAACTTGTGACAACTCTCTATCCTAAATCATTCAAACTTCCTCAATTGTCAAATTTTTAT